GGCATGTATGTTTACATGAGTGTTTATTATTATTATTATTATTATTATTATTATTATTATTATTACATTATTATACAATTATTTTTATAATTTAGTAAAAATTTGTACAAAATTTTTCATTTTTGAAAACCCTCACTATCATAACTTAGACCTTAAATCATATTCAAACAATTTAAAAATAAACAAATAAATGCATTGCAAAGACCTGAATGTCATTTTCCCCTTTATAACAATGTGAGATTGAGAAAGTGAATAGAAATTTTTAAGAGGCTATAAATTCAAAAATGAAAAAAAAATATATGACTAATGCCACCTCACACAATTTATGCAGTGCTTTTACGTGCAGAAATAAAACATTTGTGCTGTAGTAAAATTATAAATATTTACCTTCTTTGACGGCTCCCTGGAATTTATTTTTTTCCCACACAGACTTCTCCTCCTCTGAATCCTCAAGCAGAGACTTATCACTGGGCACATACCAGGTGGCATGCTGCTCAGCCATGAGTGTGTCCAGATCAATAGTGCCCACAGAGCCCTTCCCGGCATCCGGGCTACAGCTAGCAAGCTCTCCATCTCCATTTTGACCACTGCAGTCACTACTTGTCTTGTTATTTTTTACACCTAAAGGCTGTTCCTCTGAAATGCTGAACTGCTGCCGTTGAAGCTGAATCTGAGCCTGCAATATTTCTAGCGGGTGAATTTCATCAGGGCCAGAGGCGCTAGAGGGTGTTCGGACTTGCTCCATGCCCGGCGTTCCCGGATGGCCCACTCCTCCAAAGCCATCCGATGTTGAGGTAGTGTGCTTGGAGAGGACCATGCCTTGCCCTTTCTGCACACCTATTAGTCCATTGTCTCTCTGCAACTTGGGCGAGCCTAACAAAGGGCTGCGGCCAGCCTTCACAGAGGTTGGAGCATCCGAGCTCGATGAAACCTCATCCTCATTGCTATAATGTGTGCTCACGTCATCTGTAAAATCCATGCGAGGTGAACAGACTTCAGATTTTGATACGCTCTGGATGCCGCTGTCAAGAGATGAGATAAGGTCAGCCTGATCTCCCAGCAGCAGGTCACCCCCTTTGCCCCATGAGGGAGAGGTGTGGGGCTTCTCTTGAGGTGTGCCTGTACTTCTCTCCCCCACACTAGCTGCTGAGGTCACCTGCTGGCCAGGACTTACAACAGGGTTATTGTTGTCGGAGGGGAAAAATATCCCAGGGCTCACATGGCCACTGTCTCTTTTTCTCCTCCCTCTCCCTCTCCCACTCCCTGTTGCTGCCTTCCCCTCATTGCAAGGGGTAGTGTCCATATTGTAATTTGGGGAGAGGGTGCTGGCTTCCCCCTGCACCGTCTGATTTTGACCTGGTGGCTTAGTGTTGCTATTTCCAGCAGGAGGCATTTGCCCACTTTGGGGGGCAGCAATGCTTGAGAAATATTCAGTCCCAGCATTCCCAGTGCCATTAACCACACTGTTATTCAGGTCCTGTTCTGTCTGACTCAGCTTTCGTTTCCCTTCTCCCTGAGTCTTCTTGTTGAATGTCACATTGAGGTTAGGGGCCGCCAGGCTGGCAATCATGTTCTGACAGGCAGTAGAGAGGGCTGCCAGGCAGCTCTGTCCAAAAGCATTGTCCTTGCCGCTCGTTTTGCTAAAATTCCCTAAGGAGAGTCCCCCAAGTTTGCTGACAGAGGAACGCTGGCTAGTGGGAAAGTCTGATTGGGATGTAAAACTCCCTGGTGAGGTGCTCACCCCTTGAGAGTTACTGAGAGAGGCTCCCTGTCGATTAGAGCCTCCGTAGGGAAAAGAGGACAGACCACCCATGGGTGGTCCTGTAAAGTCATTGGGGCGCCTTTCTAATGGTGTGTTGGGCAATCCAACACCTGTACTGGGAGACTGCATCTGTGAAAGGTTCCCCATGCCACTGCTGAATTGTGAGTGGATGTTAGGTGAAAGTAAGGGCTGCACGTGGCCCTCCCCTGGTATCCTCATTGGCTCCTGCATGCCCATTGCATTCACACCAGCTCTGAACATCACGCCAGGGCCATTTTGCTGCATTTCATGAGCTCCCAGCTCTCCACCTGTACCCATGCGATGGCCCAGCACTTCGCCAGGTGGATGTGTCCCAGAAAACCACCCACTCTCCAGAGTCATGTGTGCATTCCGTCCATCAAAGTTCACCATCCTCCCACCATTTTCTCTCTCGAAATTCGATTGAGGCATGCCTCCCACTGGGCCCCCATGCCCCAGGGGCCCTTGAGGAACATCAACATGATGACCCAGCTGCTGCAGATTTGGTTGTCTCATCCTCTGCTGCTGACTTCGAGAGGCCATTTGCTTGATCATCATTGCTGCATTTTGTTGCTGCTGCATTGACTGCTGCTCGGGCCCTGTAAGCTGCAGCGATGGGCCTGATGAAAAGCCATCCGTCACAGGGGGGGTGAAGTCTCCAGGCAGGCCAGAATAGGCTGCGGGAGAGAGATGATTCTCCATACCAGGCGGGTTATGCATACCACTGTTCCAACTGCCGCAACTCTCCCCGCCGTGAGTGGTATTGGGAAAATCAAACCTGGGCCTCTTAGCCATATTTAAATAAGGAGACTCAAAGTGTTGCAGTCTCTGATTGGAAGGCTGCTGAGGAGGGGGTGGCTGCTGCTGCATGTTGAACATGGGGTCACCATAGCTATGCATCCGTCTGTTCTCTGGTCTGTGAATAGGGTATTCAAACTGATTATGCTGGCCAGGCATCATGACGCCACCCTCCTGCATACCAGCATTAGCTGAACCCGGCTCTGATTGTGGGGGCTGTGGGAGAGATGGTGGGCAAGTGTTCTGTCGGCCAATCAAGCCTGGCTGCTGCTGCTGCATGAGAGGATGCCTGGCACCAGGCTCTATCCCCACTGGTATTTTGCGTCCACCCCCAAAACGTTCAAAGAACACACTGTGCTGGGCTGAGGGCTGCTGCTGTTGAGGTGGGGCATGGGGGTGTTCTTTAGAGATGCCCTGGATTCCAGGAGCTTGAGACAACCCTTGGTTTCCAGGAAAACTGGACCCTGGCACCTGACGGCCAGGCCCGAAATGAGAAAGCTGAGAATCAGACTCAGAAGGGGAGTACACAGACACTTCAAAATGCCCAGATGAGGGCTCATTAGAATAGTTGTAGTCCAGTCCTTCAACACTGCCTGGTGGGGGCATTCGTCTGGACTCCAGATTGTGATTTTCTGAGGAAGAGGATGAAGAAGACAGGCCATGGAATGAGGCAGCACGATTAGGTGACTGGTCTAAGGGGAGGCATGGGGCAGGGACAGGGTGATTTCCACTGGGGGGTCCGTGGTGCTGAAAATCAGGCATGGAGCCTGTCCTTTGCTGCTGCTGCTGCTGAGAGAAGCCATCTGCTGACTGCCCCTCAGAGAGTGGGTCAAAACCCTCGGTGAATCCTTGCTGGAGCCCCATACTGCTGTTATAACCCATCATCCTTCCGCTGTGCAAACAGGAGGACCCAGGTTCAGGTCCAAAGTTTCCCCCAAAGTGTTGATGGTGTTGGTGTGAATGTGTCTGAGGGCAGTGAGGATTATTGTGAGGTTGTTGAGGGTTAAAAAATCCATGCATTGAGGCCTGTTGTTGTTGTTGTTGGAGATTCCCTGCATGCAATTCAGAATTTCCTTGCTGAAATCCACCATACTGTTCCCCTCCGTTCATGTTAATGTTCATCTCAATCACAGGAAGCTCGTTAAGTGGGCCAATACCAGTCTCGACTGTCCCTTGTGGGCCTCCAGCATGAAAACCTGGGCTCTTGTAATGGGAGTTCATGCTCACTTTTGGCTGGTTAAAGTTTTTCTCAGTGTGGCCAAAATTTCTGTTATTAATTTATGGACTAAACTGTTCCAGCCCAAACATACTTCCCACAATCAATCCCGCATGACAGCCAGCTCGCCTGGCTCCACTGCAGTGTCTACAGTCTCCTTTATTTATTTTTTTCTTTGGCAAACTCTATTGGTATCAACAATAAGATGTGAAATACTTGAATAAAAATTATTGTACTTGAAAACCACAGTAATCAATAATTAATTACTGAGAAAGTCTATTATATTGTAAATTAATGTGGAATTGTAAGACAAAACGCTCTATAAAAACTATAAAATTCACGGTCTAGTCCATAATCTGATTCTAATCTGGAATTAATTATTTTTTACAAGGTTTTTTTTTTTTTTGGTAAATGTGCTGTACAGCACAGCAATAAAGCAATTCCCTTACCACTAAATTACCCTCAACTTGTGATCAGACAACAGCTACAAAGAAAAAATGTATAAATATGAAACATGTTCCCTCACATCATTCTCCACAGACTGTAATTCCAATGTGCTGTCAAATGTCCAGAGTGAGGTAAACATTCGTTTCTGTTTAAAAATCGCTTTTGAGTGCACATCATTACACCATCCAGAGTACCATAAAATAACATCCACGTCCATATGAATCCAGAACAGCGTCTTGTTTGGTATCTACTTTCCTTTAGAAATGAGTAAGAGTTTTCAAATCGCATACGTTGAAAAGAACTAGTTCCCTTGGGTTGAGCTTAACAAGCGACCACGCAGAGCAGAAGAAAGTGTGTATGAGTCCAGAGCACACGCGCTATCCAAAGCCCGCCAGCACTGCGCTGCTGGGTAACACAGCCCCATCGGTCCTGCTCATTGTCCGCGCAATCGAACAGTTTGACTGCAATTTCAATCACAGGCAACACTTACACATTCATGCAGCCCTCGTCTAATAGCAGCAGCTTTGAGATTTACTCCAGCTGGAAACAAGTCAGCGATGGATCACATACTGATGTCCGAGGAGCTCAGCAGCGCGCGCATCGACCGCAAGGACCAGCAACAAGTTTTGCATTTCAGCAAGCTCCTCCACTGCAAACAGCAGCCAATGGCATACGAGCCGAGGGACGGACGATCTCTTAAGGTGGGCCAGGATTTGTCTGTGTGCGTTCAGAGAAAGGATTCTCACGCGCTTAAGAGAGAGAGAGAGAGAGAGCGCGAGAGAAATCCAGTCACTGTAAAAACTCACTGAAGCACTGTAAAAGTACTACAATGCGTTTGAGTGTATGTATTTAGAAGTAAATACTGTAGGCATTTACAAAAGTATGATTATGCAAAAAAAATAAATATATATATATATATATATATATATGTGTGTGTGTGTGTGTGTGTGTGTGTGCGTGTGTGTATATATACACGAAGGCGTATAGCCACTATAAATGTGATTAAACTAAGTATGATTAATAATATGTGTAGGATATGATTAGAATTTATGGAGAAACTGTAGGCTCATATTTAACAAGGCAATGCCTAGCCTGTTCATGTTTACAATTGTAAAATTGTTGAAATAATGTTTATAAGTAAAAAGACTCGGTTGATTTTAATGAAGAAAGTATAGCATTCCAGAATATCTCCTGAGAACAGTTTGTTTGGACTGTTTTTAAACAAAATTATTATTATTATTATTTCAGTTATGTACATTGGAGTGTTTTATATCGGATGTTGTTTATGTAATATATAGCACTACATTATCATTATTGTAGCGTCATGTGTCTTGTTCTGTTTAGTCTTTTAGCACGTTACAGTTACATACAGATGTTAAGCTCTTATAGGTTGGCACTGTCAAAACAGCATGATTCAATCTCGCATGATAGAGTTAGGAACTATAAATCATACAGTCGCCGAAATATCAATTATCAAAACATCATCAAAGACAAGCTGCTGTGGTTCTTCAGTGCGTTTAGTATCCTGATTTACGAAATGACCAGCTCTGTTAGTGTTTTGTGATGCTTTGACACTTATTGCAGACTTTTCGATAATATCCAGGTGAAAACAGAAGGTTGTCCTGCATGAAAAAAAAGTCCATCCTCATGAAAATGTTTAACAAAAGCGCAAATGCGCAGCAGAATGACCGCCCGGAGTTTGCTTTGTTAGCGCACTTTAAACAGCGAATTAACATTTCCATGCAGATTAATTGAGCAATTACCATAATTCTGTTTGCATTCTAAATTAATCCGATTTAGTTCGTGGCAGCAGCTGATTCTATCTATCTAGCTATCTATCTACCCAACACGCACAGGCTATATCAGCAGAGTTGAAGCCATATCTAATAATGGAATAATGGACTGTGGACACGGATTATTTCCTCTTTAAATGTTCTAGCTGCTGTCACGCTTGTGCGTAAAACTGCTTTAGTTATCCACGAGTATTTAGGAATGCATGCAATGTTTCAGTTACCCCAGTAATGTAATTAAGGAAGAGGAGAGGAAAAGGAGAGAAACCCGTCCGTGGGTGTATTTTAACTTAACGATCACCATTAAAACAAACTATTTGAATCGTAGAATCAGGCTGTCTCTTCAGAATAGCCTGCTACATAATGCCCGTGATGTACATCAATAGATCAACAGAGGGTTTAACCTAACTGTACCTGACGGAATGAACATGTAAAGTAGCAGTATATTTCCCTTTTTCATGTCCCTAGAGGTGAATTAAAGCACAGCTGCTTTATAATAATAATGATGATAATAACAATTAATTTACTATTGACCGAGATGAGTAATCATACCCATACACCACAAGCATGTGTTATCTACTCAGGACCTGTACGTTTAACCCTCTCTAAATTAATCTGGCAAGAGAAATACAAACACAGTGTAAATAAATGAGCGACAACTGAAAACATATTCTGCACCTTCTATAACAACAACAATAATATTAATAATAGTAAACAATTTTACCGAGATGAGTAACCATACACTTTCACTACAACTATTTGTTATTCTACCCAAATTAATATTGCATGAGAAATACACACACGTAAATAAATGATGGTCAAATTACAATTTAAAGCATCTTATTTCCCTTCTAACATAACAGAAATATGAAATATCGGTATCATGCCATTTAAGCACAAGCTACTGTACAACAAATGCTTGGAGACTTGGCTTGAACAGATTGATTTTTTTTCTTTAAGTTAAAAAAAATACAAATCTTCGAGGGTGAAAGCCATATTTCCCTGTAAAGGGCTTTGGCTGTGGAAATTCGGTGAAGAAGACACAGTGCCATCTAGCGATTAATAAACAACCTGCAAGTGTGCGCAACAAAACAAATACTGTTTGACTGATTATGTATGCGTGTAATATTTAATGTTGGTCAATGCAGTGAGAATACTGTCCGTGACTGAATCATAACAGTTCACTGATATCTGGGTAATCAGAAGCACGGAGCAGGTTATGTAACAGCACAGAGAGATAAGAAATAAGAAACCATCAGCACAAGTCTGCATTCAGTGTCTGGAGGGATAACTGGAATTGAGATTATTGTTTAGTCCCTAAATTTAATCAGCGGCACATGAATGTGAGAAACATGGGAAGCACTGAAGGGTATTACAATAAAATGAAAAAAAAAAAGAGTGTACAAAAATGAGAATTAAATATGAACAACTAAATGCAATAAAATGAGGGAGGAAAAATAGAATAGAAC